TGTGGTTGGTACAATTGTCTTTAGTGTTGTGTTGAGAATAGATTCTGTTTTTGTGTTTAAGAAAGTATCTTTATAGGGAGTTGTTGGAATGTCCGTACATCAGTCGCTTTCCAAAACCTCTGTCATACACACTTTGAAAGAAAAAAATCAGTGCCTTTTTTTTTTCACCTGGTAATAATAATGTTTCAGCTTTGGTGAGTTTAATTTTACAGAATTTTGTTATAAAAAAAAGGACATTTTGTAAGCTGAGTGTCAGAGATTTAAGCGAAGTCGAGTATTTCAAGCAAAGACAAATGCATTAAATTAAGCATTTTCTTCCATCTCAATTGGAGAAAAGAGAGCATTAAGTGTGTGGTACCAAAATATGAAGCTTAGTACAAGAAACATGAGCAAATTAAGGACATGATTGACGAACAAAATGTATGAAAGTACTAGTTCACTGAAACAATTTGACCCGGAAATGAATTTTGATCATGATGCTTGCAAAAGACGGTCACGTTGGTCATTTTACAATATCCAAGTGTATCAAAGCCCTTAAAAGTGCATATATATACGAACATAATCGTTTTGAAGCGAATATTTTGCTATTAAAAATTAACCCACATCATTTAAAAATATCATAAACCCCTTAAACCCATACCAATTATCACTAGTGTTTAGACTCCCAAACACGTAGACCAACGTGACCAACGTGATACACTTATTATTTACTATTTATTATTTGTATCACAAAGGATCCCGAAGACTACAAACCAAAGGTACATGCAGTCAACAGCAGAGATGTTCATGTGTGAGCAGCCGGTGACAGTGACACCATCCTTTCTTGTGACTCTGCAAATCTAGCCATAGAAACCACACATAGATCACGATGACCCTTCTTTACGCCACGCAATAACAATAGCCGTGAAGCTCCTCGAACCTTTCAGTCAGGGCCATGTCCAGCTTTCTCTGGACCTAAAGCAATATTCGATAATGCTACTTAATTTAAATTTGAAAAATATATTTTATTTAATAAATTACAAAGTATTAGATGAC